CTTTATCCATTCATCCATTGATGGACATTTGGGCTCTTTCCAGAAAGCCATTGACTTTTATATATTAACCTTGAATCCTGCAGTCTGCTGCTGCTGTAATCACTTATTAGTTCTAGGGTTTAAATATTTTTTTGGTCCAGTGTTGGGGATTTTTCTATATAAACCTTGTGTCTGAGAACAGTTTTATTTCTTCCTTCTTAATCTGTATATCTTTTATTTTCTTCTCTTGCCCTATTATACTAGCTAGGACTTCCATCACAATATTGAATAGGAGTGGTCAGAAGAGATAGCCCTGCTTTTTTCCTGTCTTTAGTTTCTCACCATTAAGTGTGATGTTAGCTGTAAGTTTTTTGTAGATGTTCTTTTTCAAGTTGAGAAAGTTTCCCTTATCCTAGTTTCCTGAGAGTTTTTAACATGAATGGGTGTTGGATTTTGCCAAATCCTTTTTTTGCATAATTGATATGATCATGTAATTTTTCTTCTTTAGTCTGTTGATGTGATGGATTATATTAATTGACTTGAATGATGAAACAGTCTTGAATACCTGGAATAAATCCCACTTAGTTGTGGTGTATAATTATTTTTATACATTGTTGGGCTCAATTTGCTAATATTTTGTTGAGGACTTTTGCATTTAGTGTACTGAAACATATTGGTCTATAGTTTTCCTTTCTTGTAATGTTTTCATCTGGTTTTGGGATTACTGTATTACTGGGCTTATAGAATGAGTTAGGATGTGTTGCCTCTACTTTAATTGCTAGAAGAAATTGTAAAAAATTGGTATCATTATGAATTTAAATGTTTGGTAGAATTCACCATTGAAACCATTTGGGCCTAGTGCTTTATTTTTCTGAGGTTATTAATTATTGATTAAATTTCCCTAATAGATGCAGGCCAATTCACATTATCTATTTTTTCTTGTGTGAATCTTGGTAATTTTTGTCTCTCAAGGAATTGGTCCATTTTATTCAAGTTATTATATATGTGGGCATAATGGTGCTCATAATGTTCCTTTATTATCCGTCTGTTCATGGCATCAGTAGTGATCCCTCTTTCATTTATGATATTAGTACTTTATGTCTTCTCTGTTTTGTTCTTAGTCAACCTAGAAGCTTATCATTTTAGTAATCATTTCAAAGCCATAGTTTTTGGTTTCATTGATTTTCTCCATTGATTTCCTGTTTTCAGTTTCATTGTTTTCTGCTTTAAATTTTGATATTTCTTTTCTTCTGCTTGTTTTAGGCTAAACTGCTCTTCTTCCTCTAGCTTCTGAAGGTGGAAGCTTATTAATTAAGATAGTTGATATTATGTTTCTCCTCTTTTCTAAAATATGTATTCAATATTATACACTCCACTCTAGGCATTTCTTTTGTAGCACCTGCAAATTTTCATAAGTAGGATTTTCATTTTAATTTCATTTGGTTCAAAATATTTTAAAATTTCTCTTGAGACTTTTTCTTTGACCCATATATTATTTAGAATAGAAATGATTTATTCTCCAAGTAATTTGGAATTTTTGCAGTCATCCTTCTGCTTATTTATATCTAGATAGCTCCATTGTGGTCTGAGAATATACCCTGCATTATTTCTATTCTTTAAAATGTTTAAAGATGTAGTCTATGAGCTAGAATGTGATTTATCTTGGTGAGTGTTCCACATGAACTTGAGAATAATGTATATTCTGCTGTTGGATAAAGTATCCTATTAATTAATTCAGTCCAGATGATTGGTGGTGCTATTCCTTTCAACTATTTTCTTACTGCTTTTCTGCTTGCTGGTCTATCAATTAATGAAAGATGAGTGTTAAAATCTCCAACTATAATTGCAGATTTGTCTATTTGTCCTTGTAGTTCTTTCAGTTTTTGCCTCATGTATTTTGACATTCTGTTGTCAGGTGCATACAAGTTGAGGATTTTTAGGTCTTCTTGAATAATTGATCCCTTTTTCACTAAGTAATGTCTCTTTTTATCCCTAATAAAAATTTTGTTGTTGTTGTTCTGAAGGCTTCTTTTAAATTCACAGTTACTCTAGCTTTCTTTGGGTTAGCATTAGTATAGTGTGTCTTTCTCAATCCCTTTGATTTAAACCTATCTGTTTAAACCTGTCTTCATATTTAAAGTGGGTTTCTTATAGAAAACATTTAGGTGAGTCTTTTGTTTTTTATCCACTCTGATAGTCTCTGTCTTTTAATTAATATGTTTAGACCATTCATTTAAAGTGATTATGTATATAGTTGTATTAGTATGTACCATTCTATTTGGTGAACTTGTTCTTTGCTTCTTTTTTTTTTTTTTTTAACCTTTCTCTCCCCCTCTTTTAAAAAAATTTTTTTTTAGGTTTATTCATTTTTCAGAGACACAGAGAGACAAAGCATGAGTTGGGGAGGGGCAGAGAGAGAAGGAGATATGGAATCTGAAGCAGGCACCAGGCTCTGAGCTGTCAGCACGGAACCTGATGCAGGGCTGGAACCTGCAGACCATGAGATCATGACCTGAGCTGAAGTCAGACACTTAACAGACTGAGCCACCCAGGCGCTTCTCTCTC